GCATGTGATCAGAACTTAGTGTCGGCCGCCGAAGTTAGACCTCGGGCACAAACGTCTCCTAACATCAGAGAGATTTACTGGTGTCTCTGAGAAAACGCTGACTAGATGCCTGAGAATTAAATTCTAATCGATCTAATCTCCCCTCTTCCTAGCCGGGCAGTCATTTGTTCGCGTGTAATCTTATGCAAAGGCCACTTTGAACGAGCAGTTCATCCAGCCGTACATGCGCATTTATATAGCCTTCAAGGATCGGGGGTCTTCATGACCTAGCCCTGTAGAGAGAGAATTTGCGGAAATAGACTGTTTATTTCCTTTTTGAGTTGCCAGCATGCACAGATTCAATAAAATATAACACATTGAGAAATCTATGCTCATTGGCAGATGCAATTACAGCTTGACAGACTGGGCAAGCAGGAGAAGCAGAGGATTTTTACCAGAATAATTCTGTAATGTGTTTGCCGAACATTTATCGGCTATCTATCTGTAAAAAGCGCAAAGAAAACTGCAATTGACACCAATTATGCAGGCAATTATCGAAACACAGCCTTGCATATAAACACTCGTAGAACTCATCGAGTGGCAGCAGTGATAATGGAGAATGCAGATTCAAATTTATTTTGCGAAATCCACAATAATCTTTCGGCCTTCCATCAGACAGGTTACTGCATTGTGACTGGTATCTTACTGGGTATTTTATGTAGATGGATTTCCTTATAAATCGAGCAACGAAACGATTCGCATAGGCCATTCATATTCACGCAGTAAAAATATGGCTTGCATTATGTTGAGGTCTAGGCAGCACAAACGTGATCAGTAAATTCTCCAAACATGTACCACAAAACCAGTATTCCGCCACAGTTTTGTACGCTTGAAAAAGAAAACTGTTTGACATGCCGTACGGCAGCATAAATTCCTACGTCTCGACCATGTACGCAGAAGGATTTGTGGTCGGCGCTATTTCTCCGTGAAAGATAATCGAAAATAACAGTGCTTTTACTGTCCTATTTTTAATCTCATTTCAATCCACTGTCAGGGACTGGTCAAATCAAGAACAACATACTCAAAAGACCACATATGGTAAACCTTGAATCATTGCGTCGTAGATAGGGGCAAGGCGCCCAGGTCACTGTGGCTTCATTAAACCTGCAGTGGAAATGACTCGTGTGCGTACCGAGCAAATCATTACTCATGACCAATCACATGGTGTGCTAGCTGAAATGTTAAGTGTGTTTTCGATCGGGAAGAATGGCTTCGATGAGTCTTCAATACTGATCATTGTGCAGCCTAATCCTAGGATAAAACATATACGGCTGGATGCCTACTTTTGAATGCACTTCCAATAATCCACCCGTTAAAACGTTTCTCAATGAAACGTGGCTACTCACGAAGCCCGAATGTATAAACAGATCGTCGCTTTTCCTATAAATCCTTATTTATGCACACACAACGTGCATGAAGTATGCATTTCGTTACGCGTTTTGCAACAAATTATGCCTTGTTCACACGCACGCTCGAGGAAAGTGAATCTTGTGTTTTTTCGGAAGGTTTTATAATTAGGAGACCTACTAAGACCCTAAGGTTTCCTCTCAACTAGCGTCCTCATTGTGTGTTAATAAATCTTCCGTGTGAAGTACACAACACTGTTGACATCCATTGCAATGTCATTTAAAGAATATATGAAGCCTTCCCAATGACAAAGACATATTTGTGATCTACCTTTTAGAGCCAGCATAAAACCGCTAGAATGCAAATACCAAATTCAATGAAAGGCAGACGTAGTTTGATATTATTATAGAATTGCAGGAACGTTAACATCAAAATATGCCAATTTCTCATTTAGAATAATCATGGAGACGAGATATCGTAGACATTGCCAGAAGGAAGAAATATTTGGGCATGAAAACTGCAAATGCTCTATCTGACTTTGAAGTCTTAAAGAAATTAGGTTGGCATGAGAAACAAGATGGGTATGCTCTGGGCTCAGGAGCAAGCTGGACCGACCTCGTAGATAATTAACTTCGTTCAGGCTTACAACTTTCTCGCTCATCCATCCACATCGACTCAATTACAAATTAATTATTCATAAAAACAACGATGTTAATGCCCTCTACCTATTCCCATTTTAGGCGGCAGGCAGAGAACATGCTCAATACATAGCAAGACGTCCATAGAAAATGTTTATTGGAAGGTCTTCGTTTTAGAAGATGTCATTACAGCTTGGCAAACAGGGCCAGCAGGAGTGGCAGAAGGGAGCACTGTGCCACGGATAGCGCCGAGACACCAGATGTCGTTGTGGCTTCACTCGATCCGCCTGCAGACACAGTTGGTTTTGTGGCTACGGTAGGATCTTTATGATCCTCATTGTCGTTCGGTTGGCTTGGAGACGCAGTTGGGTTTGTGGCTACGGTAGGATCTTTATGATCCTCATTGTCGTTCGGTTGGCTTGGAGACGCAGTTGGGTTTGTGGCTACGGTAGGATCTTTATGATCCTCATTGTCGTTCGGTTGGCTTGGAGACGCAGTTGGGTTTGTGGCTTCGGTAGGATCTTTATGATCCTCATTTTCGTTCGGTTGGCTTGGAGACGCAGTTGGGTTTGTGGCTTCGGTAGGATCTTTATGATCCTCACTTTCGCTCGGTCCCTCCGAAGAATCAGGAGGCTTTACGGTTTCGCTAGCACTAGTAGGTGCAGTTGTCGTCTCAGCAGTCAAGTCTTTTTCACCTACGGGAGCGGAAAGACAGTCATTTACTTATTTATCTTGAAGGGGAAGCTAATGCAAGACAATTGCAGTCAAAAGGTCTAATAATCTACCGCAGATGACAACGGGCAGGATAAGAAGGAGGCTCGACAGGAATTTCAGCATCACGCAGATTTCAGCTCTAAAACCGACAAAGGGCATTGTAATAAAAGTGAATTAAGTTCATATGGGCGATGCTGTCGCTACCATTACACAGTCTACTGGCACGCCTCGTGTACTAACTCACCTCAAGCCTGGTGAATGTGGTGGCTCATGAAGACGCCAATTCTGACTCCATATATAGATTTCTGCGTGGACTGCCTCAAACGGAGTTGATTGGGTTACCTGCTTCATTCGACGAGGGCGTGGAGTACATTGATGGTTGATGTTCTATCTTTGTCATGGGCGTACTTTAGCCTCGAGGCGCATGTGATTGAATGCTTTTTGCCAAAGCTGATGTCGATGGGGTGGTTCGGTGAACATTCAAGACAGTAACACAGGACAGAGCACTTATGCCTGCAATGCATCAAATGACTGTTTGAGTAGGCTGACATGCAGTGCAGAAAATTGCACGATTCATTTCGATATTCGATTAGGTACTGTGTGAGATAATGTTTTAGCACGCATCGAGTCCCCCTCAATTTGGCGTTCACGCGATTGCAATCAATAAATCATCCTCGGGCCTGTGCATGATATATCGCTATTGAAATAATGAATAGAAATATAAGAGCAATCAGGTGATTATGCGGTAGCTCAAGTTTGTTATTTGATGTGAGTGGATGGTAGAGAAACAACGAAATTGCAGTCAGCGAGAGGGGGATGACGGGTATTGTAATGGGTAATTATATGCGAGTGGCTCAGTCAGTGATATTGACCATGACATACGTGGCACCTGTGTGATATTCGTCTGTGCTCACAGAACCGGTTTGTTTAAAACCGCCTATTCCGGTAGGCAACAGACGCTGCATAAGTACCTCGGAAAAATTTGATGCAGCTCTGTAAATCTTTGGGCTGCAACATCGACGTCAACTAGATAGCGAGAGACAAGGCTGATATTGGCTACGTCGTCCACAGGGAAACGCCAGTGAGTCAAACACTGTCGTAGACATAGAAGGTGCAACCAGATCTGAAGCAAACAGCCGCGTCTATTATCTGACATACTGGTTTCCCTGTTTGGACTTGAGATTATAGAAAAGGAACAGTAGTGCGTCTTTGTGGCAAAAAGTATCATAACAGCAAATTTTGGCTGTTCGAGTTTGTGAAGGACGGCGAAATCGGCCGTCTGAGCGAATGGAAGAATGGAGAGCAAACTGCAGTTTAATGATGGCCACCTCATTCGCCATGGTCGAAATCTGCTTCAATAACTGCTCCTTCATAACTGACAGCTGAGAATGTGGAGATATGGGCGACAGAAAACAATCGGAACCGTCCAGTCATTTCAGCCAGCTGTGCAAACGTGAGATGTTGAGGACCAAACACCAACATTGTTTGAACATATGAAGGTAGACGCTCCGAAATCATATCCTTGAGGAGTTCCTCGTCAATGTGCTTGTCTCCTAGGAGAGAACACATTCATCGAAGAAGTTCTGTGGATTTTCGATTAGCTAGTGATCCCCAACGTGGCCAACAGGTAGTAGGCTGTCAATCAGATACGGCATTGAGTCAAAGGATTTCCGTCCTCCGCGTGAAAAATGGGGCGTCTGCAGGGTGACTTACGAGATAACGCTAGCGGTAAAAGTTATATAATTTTGTGGTATTTCGCCATCTCCTGTGTAAAGTTATCAGGTTAAAAGCCTGATTCAATTCGGATCAAAAACTGTTCGGAAGCAAATTACCAGAATCCTGGAAAGCTAACATTAAGGACAAGTAGGGACTGCTCGGGACAATGGATATTTGCGTGGAATGAAGTATAATGAGTAAAGTACAGAGGGCAAAATATCGAAGACGTTCTTCAGAAAGGTAGGCTTAAATTAAACAAAAATTCACTAGTACGTTCCGGACAAGAAATATTATTCAATATGATGGAAAAATGGAATACATTCGGAGATGGCGCTGGAGTTGCCAGTAGAGAAGAGACTAAAGTTCACGCGAAGTACTCATGAAGTATGGAAAGCCGGCAGGTGAACAAAATCGATATTTAGTGTATTCAACATCCTTAGTGTAGAAGACTGAAGTAACTTTCAGTGCTGTGTCCGTTACGTCAAAACCAACACTGCAATATGCGAAACCTGTCGGGATTACGTAAAGTCAATTAGTCTGGTACCTCGGCACAATATATCCTGTGCAGTTTTGAAGGCGTCTTGACGAGGATGCGTGACATTCGTTAGGGACGGCTGCCCTGTAAATATATAGTTTTCTGCCAGTATTGCAGAATATACGCTACCTAGAACTTGCCATAGAAAGAAATTATCTCGGTCATGCGAATCTAATGAAAAGGTTCTACACGGGTCGTAGTACAATAATTGTAGACCAAATGTGTATGTCGTGAATAGCCTGTAAGGGTTATTCTTCGAATTGTGGAAAGATGTTGCATGAAAATGATCCTTTATTATGCAAAATGAACTGTCTTATGTGGAATTAATTTGCCCTTTTCGTTTGTCATACTATACCTCTAGTTTCAGATCGGCTTCGAGTTATCGCTTAGCACGTCATGACTTCCGGTTCATTTTATTGATTGCCCACAAAAGCCGATCTTGTATTTGCTAAGCATTTTTACACACGATGCCTTTTGTAGACATGCGTCGTAAATGCGAGTGTTTGGATGTTCTCTTTCACCTAGATAGTCATTTGGGTAACATAGAAAGACTTACCCAAACAGGAAACCTTATGGTCGAATGAAATAGACATCCACAACGAAAGCCGACAACGTTTATGCTTTTTTATTCTACAGGGAGCATTCCTTACGAGATTCCCTTTTTACGCTGTGACTTATGACTGCATTCAGCTGATGGGTTTCTGTGTACTCCACAATCCTACGCGGTGAGTTGGAGACAAAATTTGGCATTCGGTCGCTTCTTTCACGTCGCATAGACGCACTGATATTGTTCTCTAGCAAACCTTAGTTCATGCGTCTTTCTCTCTGTTTCGGCCGTTTTGGCTATCCTTGTCCACATGTGTCTCTTGCTCTACGGTCACAAGCACACAATAAATTCAGCAAATAGATAATGGTATTTCGTTAATATTTTTAATAGTTTCTTCGCTACATTTCTAAATCACGCATATGCACAAATCAAACTACAAGAAAAGCAATATATTACATGTCCAAATCTGACTATGACATCCGTTGGTACACATCTTGGTGTTGAAATAGCGAAGCACTTTTTGTTCATTCAAACGGAGCATTGTTTAATCGCGAAATTACGGCAAAACGAGGACATGGAATCACGTGGATTCGCTAATTGGAATTCTCAAAATCCAAACGCATATTAGTTCTTTAAAAATAAACTTTCTTATAACCTGATTCCCTTCAGCAACTCGTATGTCTTTTAACTCCCCAAAAGTGGACTGTTGCTAACCAAATCTCTGCTGAGATCAAGGCTGAATCCTACCGTTCATCTCACATTCCGCTTTATATTTTTTTGCGTCTGGCAACGCTGTCTGCCTAAGCGAAAGTCAGATTTTCGTTATTCATGGACTGGGTGCTAAACTAGTCAGTTAATTAAGCAGATCCAATAGACCGTGTGGTTTATCTCTAGAAACGCATCTTACCTTATACTTCATGTTGAGACATATATTTCGGCTTGCATTTTATGATATCTGTCACAGAATTACAAAAATTCCAACTGATCTAGAGTTTTATTTATTCGCTGCGTTTTTCGCCAATTCAGCGGTTAAAGCAGAATACACTTTTGCCTTTCATAGTCAGTTGGAACAGGGCATCGAGTGTGAGAAAAGTGGAGATTTGATGAACGATATTTTGGATTGGCATACGCAAGTGGACATCGGTGCTGAGTCAAGGTGGCAATAAAGTACTTTCGTCAGAGACAGCATGAAAGACGCCGCGGCAGGCCCCGTTGGGTGGAGTATTGGCGTGCTGGAGTATGCAAAAGCAGATCCAAATTTAGATCACCTGTGGCCTTCCATGAGTTAGTATACAAGAATTGTAATAAATGCCGAATGGGTTATTCTCACCCATCGTAGACAACAATATGCGAATCGCTTGCCAATGTGTCAAAGGCCGGGAATTGCATGCAGCCTCCGTATCAACTCCATGTTTACGGTTGGACAAGTATGCCTATATAACCCCCTAACTGTCGGTCTTATCATCCTCGTTTGCTTATTAACTTTTAGTGGGAAACAGTTATTATCCTCCCACGTAGGCCGGTTATAGCTTAAAGGCCTTTCGGCGTTTCGGTTTTTCTCGGGTCGAAGACATCCTTAATACCATCACGGTGCATGCGTCACAAAGGGAGCAGATTTGACCATTTAATTACATTGTGTAGGCCTTTTCAACAGACAAGATTTAGGACGTCGATTATCAAGGCATGCTAATGTTTATTGATTCTCCATCATTCTGACAATACCTAGTTTTTGGATGAATGTGTATGAAACTAAGATGTGCTTATTTCTGATGAATTATGTGTATTGAATGTCCAACAATCTGACAAAAGCTAGCTTTTGAATGCATATCGACAAGGCATGCCAAGTACTTTCATGTGCGCAAAATGCATGTCGTTTTGACTCCGGTTGCAACAGCGCGGACGCACCGCTCTTCATCCCCGAAAGTTTTCAAAAACTCTCGTGTTCATTGCGCATGTCTCGTTGGCCACCCCTCCAGCTGTGCTCACAGATCTATTTAACCAACCAGTATTTCATAGTGAAGACGTAGCAAATGATGTATTGCGACATTCTACAGCGAGTTGTAGGTGACGAAGGAAAAGGATGGAAATGCTCACGGTCGGAGGGATTTCGGCCAATCGCCTGGACGTCTTATGCATTGCACCAGCTGGATAAACCGGCAGTTCTGCCGGGAGCTGAAACCACATCTGCACTCACACACAGAAGACGTGGGCTGATCGCCAGGCCGATGTGTATTTTGCCACAGTTCGTACACTTGAATACATAATTTGATTGACATGCTGTAGGCCAGCATAATTTCCTAAGTCCAAAGGCTAGAGGAATCATAGCCAAATTAATCAGTTGTATTAAGGCCCGCGTTTATTTGGTAGTCAGTGAAAACTGAAAGCGCATGCTCGCCTATTGCCATAACAGTAAATCTCTTACAATGACTGGAAATGAACAGCATCACACCCGGCCATGTACTTTGAAGGATTTCTGGCAGGCACTGTTTCTCCGGTAGCGATTATCGATAACGACAGTGGTGTTACTGCCACTGACATCGAAAGTTCCATTCAAAAACAATGTTCTCAAAAGACCACATATAGTAACCCTTGTGCGTTAAAAGATATCATTGGTTTCATTGACGCGTAATTGCAGGTCGGCGAGCATAACAAGCGGAAGTGACACATGGGAGCATTGTGTCGTATTACAGTAGGTCGCTGTGGCTTCAGCAACCCTGGATGGAAAAGGACTAGTCGGCATACTGCACAAATCATTAATCACGACCAATCCCATGATGTGTTAAGTGGGTGTTTGATTGGGAAGAATGGCTTAGGATCTTTAACATGCAATTTGCTGTTTATAGAGAGAACTCTTCTTCCGTTAAATTAATTTACACATCTCCATCGTTATGAATTACGTTAAGTCTTAGATCGGCCTCCACATCTCGCTGAATACTTTATGATTTTCATTGATATTTTGGCAGATTTTGAATAATTCATATTGACCCAACTGTGAAAAACTCGGCGCCTCGGTGGGATTCGAACCCACGCAGTAAAGGGGAAGGCTTTAGCACAGCCAACGTTCTAACCACCTGAGCTGCGAGGCCCCGCCGGACGATGCGAGTTTTATCACACTTGGGTCAAGTTACCCGCCCAACCTACTGCAACGTCTGGAATCCACCAAATCTGATACAGTAGGTTGACTGCCCAAGCAGGATTTCCTACGTATTTCACCTAGAATCCACCAGATTACTACTAGGCTCACGTAATTCATTGTCAATTTTTTGCTGATAGTTTGGATTTATCTTATCAAAATAAAGCAAATTTCTCTCTCTAATTACCTTGCATATCTCAATCCAGTTTATTTAACTGTTTCTACCTCAAGCAAAATCACCAATCACTCCAGCACTCCAGGGAATTTTCATTAAGAAGTGGCATAACGCAAACCCGTGGTAAAATATATGAGACGCAAAGGATATGTTGTTTACTTTTTCCTACATGGAAAGCAGAGTCCATGTTGTTTACAATAGTTGCAAACGCCAATGAAGACAAAGGCGATCAATTAATGCAAGCAAGTGCGAAATGAACACAAAGAATACTGATTTATGGGCGATTCTACATGAAACATAGCAGTAATCACAAGGGTGTGTTTCTCAACCCAAACGTGATTAAACTCTCGTCGTCCGGCGGGGCCTCGTAGCGCAAGTGGTTTGAGCGTTGGCTGTACTACAGCCGTCCTCTTACTGCCTGGGTGCGAATCCCACCGAGGCGCTGCGTTTTGCACAGTTGGGTCAATAGGAATTATTTAAAATCTGCCAAAATATCAATGAATTACGTGAGCATGGTAGTCATCTGGTGGATTCCTGGTGAATCGCTTAGGCCTCCCTGCTTGGGCAGTCAAATAACTGTGTCAGATTTGTTGGATTCCAGACGTTCCAGAGTATCAAAATTAGGCAGAAATGCGCATGCGGTCATTAAGGAATGGGTTTCAAGCAATACCATACTGTGACTGAGGTACCATGGGATTGCATTGCGTATTACTTAGCTTCATTTAAGCAGTAATTCCTAATTAAAATTTTATTTTCATCATTTCGGTTAACGTTTAGTGGGATTGGTCGATGAATATTTTTTTAATTCTCCAATTTCAAGTGTGCTACACGTAGAAACAAGGTTTTTTCGAGCAGTCCATAGACGCAGTAGGATGTAAGATTTTATATACACAGCAAATATTTCAACAGCAAATATTTCGAATCTTTCTATTTACTATAAACATTAAATGTATGTTGGAATTTATTTAGAGGTTGGCCCGGACAGAACACATAATTTCCGTTTTCGCCTGCCTATCAGGTTTCATATTCCCGCTAAGGACACTTTTACATGCTATTCAAAAATGCCCGATATTCACAGTTACAGCATGAAAAACTCGACACCAGCTATCTGCCGGGCGCTTTCAGACATTCGCTTAAATTGAAATGGTTGTCAGGCGAAAAATATTATTTAATAGGATCCGAAGTCGAAGATAGGAATCAGCTCTGATCCCAGCAAATATTTGGTTAGGTACAGTCCACTTTTGGGGAGTAAAATAACTTCTGCATGCTCTGCTGTGGATCCATTTCAGTGCTACCTTGTTCGTAGGTGCTAGGCACAATTATACAGAGGTATCAAAATCAGTCTCGCAGACTCCATTTTGTGTTCTGTAGTTATTTTTAACTGTGATTATATCGCACGCAAGTTTCGCTAATTCATGAATGCTCTGGTTAAGGACAATTAATATAGTAAATTGTGATCAGGACTGTGTATTGTATGTGCCTCAATGAAGTCGATATGCATGTTCGTCAGATAAATTAAACAGACATAACATTGTGTCTGGCTGTTCAGCTGATATAGAAAGGCTTTTTACTTGTTGATGTGTCTCTGCAGTGGGTGTGGATCCGTTTCTGTGCTACCCTGTTCGTAATACCCCTTGACCCAGCTGAGTGTGCTCAACTTAAAAAAGGATCATATATACGTTGCTCGCATACTAAATATGTGCATTGTTTGATATGGCCACGTGAGGATAAAGCACTGATGAACTCTCCTATGTCGAGTAAATATAAGGAATATGACAAAAATGCATTTTGAATTTCATGCTGGTGAAACCTAACCAGTTTATCAAATACAATTTTGTAGGCGGCCCGAAAGGAAGCCATTCAAAGCCATTATTCACTTTTCCAAAGCAGCGTAGGTTACGCCTTCTTGTGGAGAGCACATTTCAATATTTCATCTTACATGTTATGGCATTTAGCACAAACGTAGACAATTCCAAATGCCTTAAGGTTTCATTTTGCCGCCTCGTTGTATGGTCATGCAGAGTCTTAAGCGAAATTCACTTTTAACTTCCAACGAGTTCTTGCATCAATACAGTTATCTTTAAACTGCCTAGGTGGTTCTGAAGAACTTAAATATGAATTAGCGTTTAGGATAGAAATAACATCCCCCCGAACATAAACTTCGTTTGCTTCTTTGTGCACTTATCGAGCATTTAAATTCAAGTTGGATGCTATTAGGGGTACGTCAAGTTGGCAGTGAATTAACTTCGCCAGGCTCGATGTGAAATTTGCCTCCACACGCTTCATCGAGTGAAGTATTAGAACGCTGAGGTATAGAACCGCAAACCCCACTCCAGATATCCTGTTCACATTCTTCATCAGAATTGCATTTGGACAACCATATATTCAATGGAAACTTTTTTTAAATAATACATAATTTGTAAACGCTAAAGCATGTACGCGTTGACTCTCCCTGATTTATTGCCTTTTTCTGTCATGCGCTAAACATATCTATGAAATATGATCAGTCAAAAAAATTCGTTTTAAAAACATTATACCCACTGCCTCTAATAACGAACTGCTCTTAATCAACGAGCCACCCGACGATTAAGCACAGATCTTGCCTGTGTGTCTGGAAATCAAATCGGCCTCCTTATAAATTCGACGATGACAGTTAGACTAATATGTCTATATAACGCTTTAACTTCTACCCCCTAATCAAACTCGTTGATGACCAATTTTTAACTGACTATATGTTTTTTGTGGGAAACGGTTATTATTATTATCCTGCCTAAGCTAGTTAAATCTTAAAAGCATTCAAGCGTTTTTGCTTATCTCGACTGACACACAAGGCATGCGGAATTTGTTAATAAGAAGTGTTCATTTTTTGATGAAGGACGACTACCGATTCTCCAGCACTTCCGGACTTCCGCGTCCGGGATAGTGTGCTGCCATTCCACCTTCAATTTGCTGCGAAGACAGCTGAGAGGAAAGTGGTCAAATTCAAGGGAATGAATGAAGTAAACCGTCCAGGTCTCCGTCCCGTGCAGACGTGTCGTCAAGACGACAGCATTGCACATCATCAGCTTGGTGATCACATGTGGGGCGTGGCGAATCCACATGGAGGGCTGCAGTCGGCAGAAGGCCTGACCGACGATCTCATAATGACTGTATTTTGGTTAAGTATGCTGAAGATGTGGTTGTTGGACAAGGCATGCCTTAGTGTTCGCAAAATACATGTCGTTGTGACTCCGGTTACCACAGCGCAGACCCACCGCTCTCCATTCTCGAGCGTTTATAAAAACTGGTGTTTTTCTTTCGCATGCCTAATTAGACATGCTTATGGAAAAGCTCCTGGGTCTTATCCTCAAATCAGTAGTTAGGAGTGAACACGTAAACAATGATGTAATGCGACATTCTACAGCGCACATGAGGCGACGAAAGGAAAAGATGGGATAACTGAAGGTCGGACGGATTTCGATCAATCGCCTGTACGCCTGACTAATTGTACCATTTCGATAAACCAGCAATTTTTTGGGAGCTGAAACAACATCTTCACACATACACACACACACACACGACAGTTCGACCATCGATTTCGGTGATGTCCACCGTGTGCCCCACAGCAGGTGGGAGCAGGGACGGTGACATACGAAGGAGTTTATGGTACCGGTAGACTTGCGTAGCATCTACCCACACTCTCTCCTCCTGCCTCGCCCGAGTCCGGTGTCAAAAGAGAGTCAAGAAGACCGGAGACGGGGGAGGCCGCAGGTGGATGGCTAGGAAGGATCCTCACCTTGGCGTTCCACCATACCCCCTGATCCACACAGGAATAACCAGGATTTTCACAAGCACAACGGAGATTTGGAGGCTGGCACGAACGAAGCCGCACCTAGACGTGCAGCCAACGCCTGGCTCGGATCCCACACAGTGGTAGGAGGGCCATAAAAGCAAAACTAAGAAGGAGCCATTGCAGCCTGACTCTCAGACCGCCTTCAGTCAAGAAGGAGGTCCAAGTTACCCAGTCAGTTGGCAACCATCCAAGTCACGGCTTTTAGCGTACCGTGATAGCTTCAAGCGCTTCAGATTGTTTATAGTGAGGAAAATGCGCTGAGTCGTCGAGCTCACTCGCCCTTCCCATCCCCACACCCCAGCCGCTGTCCAAGCCGGTCAGCAGACAGGAGTGGGAGATGGGCGCGGTGGCTGACACGGTCGACTGACCATGCCTGCGCGCGCCACAGCACGGCCTGCCCCCCCCCCCCCCCACCCCATACACACAAGCACCAGGATTTCAAACAAGGATGGGTTGAACGGCGTGTCTCCCACTTGCGGGAGAGGGCCGTGGAAGGTGCTGTTTCAGCCCGTCCCCAGCCCAGGAGTCCGCCACTACACACAGAACACACACGACGCAACGAACTGCGTGGACCGAGAGCGGGCGTCAGTCAGCAACCTTCCTATCCACGACGCTTGACGTGTCGGGAAATTCTCGGACTCAAGTCACCCCTGGAGCCGAAGCCGCATGAGGACCGAGTCGAGATGCACACTTACCACTTGCGTGGGAGGTGGCAGTCGGGTGCATGAGGTGTGGGAGTGTTGATGTGTTATGGGGTGATGGTGGTGTTGGGGGGTAGGGAGTGAGTGAATGTTCGGTGTGGCCGGAGGTTGTCTACCGCAGGTCGTCGTGGATGATCATGTGGCCGAATAGGCCCTTGCGATGCCGGAAGGTGCGAGGGCAGTGTAGACAGTGGAGGTGAGTGCGGTGGGTATAGGTTGGTGCTCCAGGCACTAGTTCGCCAGTCTCTGTGCGATGGATTCGCAAGTGACCGACCAGGCCGATGCGTGAGGTGAAGGTGCGGTCGCAGTGAGGGCAGGTGTAGTGCTGATCCTCATCGCTGGAGTCGGATGAGTTGGGGGTGGTATCTGTTGATGTGCCGGGGTTGGTGATGTGCGAGACGGCCGCCTGAGAGGCAGTGAAGGAGGAGGGGGAGGAGGAGGAGGATGATGATGATGATGATGATGATGGAAGTGGTAGTTCAGAAGAATGGTCAGATTAAGTTGATGGCGGAGAGGAGGAGGAGGAAGAGGCGAGCTGTGGTAAGATATTTGGTGAAGTTCGATGCGCGCATTTGATCCGAATATGACCAACAAGTCCGATTCGAGCGCGCAAAGTCCGTTGACATCGAGGACACGTAGGTTGCGGTTGTGCGTCAGCGTTGCGGACTGTGCGAAGTTGTGATTTGCGGGCTTCGCGTTTCGCTTTGGCGGCGACGATGCGGTTGGCTTCGTACATCGCAGCGCCTATCTTCACTGCCCTCTCCAGGTCGGTCGATCGTGCGCGAGCTTTTCCATGTTGGTCGGCTTGATTTGCAGGCGCTTCAGGGAGGACTTCACGGTATCCTTTTGACGGCGAATCTGGCCTCCTTGACGGCGAGAACCCGTCGCGACGTCTCCGTAGAAGAGTCGTTTGGGTAGTCGATCGTCATCCATGCGCACCAGGTGGCCGCTCCAACGCAACTGCATTTGTCTCTGTATGGCGTAGATGCTGAGGATTTTCCGTTCGTTCCAGCACATCACTGTCGGGGATTCTATAATGCCAGTTCAGCCTCAGGATGCGACGAAGGCAGTTGAGGTGGAAGTAGTTCAGACGGCGTGCCTGCTTTGCGTACACCGTCCAAGTCTCCGCTCTGTACAGTAGCGTCGACAGGATGACGGCCTTGTACTTCTTCTGCCTTGTGCTCAGGTAAAGCCCGTGGCGATTCTAAACTACTCTTTGAAGGCAACCGAAAGCTTGACTGGCTTTCAAGATCCTGTTGACGACTTCGTCGTCGATCTGGGTGTTGCTGGAGAGAGAGTACTGCCCAGGTACGGGATGTTGTCCACCACTTGCAGTTGGGTTCCGTTCACGCTGATTTGCGGCGGCGCTTTGGGGACTGTGGCTGAGTTGGGTGGCGGATGATGCATCACCACCGTCTTATGCGTGTTAATGACCAGACCAAAGTTCTCACAGGCGGCGGAGAACAGGTCCATGCTTCGTTGCATCTGCTCATCCGAGGTGGTGTTCAGGGCGCAGTCGTCGGCGAAGAGAAGTTCGTGAACGGTGGTTGTGGATACGCGCGATTGGAAGTGCATCCGTCGTTGATTCAGCAGGTGACCGTCCGTCCTGTAGGCGATGTGTATCCCGAGGCGTTCGTCGCGGCAGGCGTCCATCAGCATGGCAGAGAACATAAGACTGAAGAGGGTAGGCGCCAGCACGCATCCCTGCTTCACTACATTGGTCACTGCGAATGCCTTTGAGACATCTCCGTTGTCCGTGAGTCGCGCCATCATACCGCCGTGCAGCTGACGCACCATTTGAGTGAATCGTTCCGGACAGCCGAATTTCTGCATGATCTTCCACTGTCCTTCATGATTCGCCGTGTCGACGGCTTTCGTCAGGTCCACAAAGGTAGAGTACAGGTGGGTCTGCATCTCCTGACACTTCTCCTGAAGTTGACGGGCGGCCAAGATCATATCCGTGGTCCCACGATGACGACGGAAACCGCATTGGCTTTCCGGCAGAAGGTCCTGTTCGAGATGGTTATTGAGGCGGATGAGAAGGATGCGGGCGAACCATGGGAGCGCGACCAAGGACGGCGAGCGCCGTCGACTGGGCCGTGTCTCGCAGTTGGCACCACCGGTTATCCACGGAGGCGTCCTCGGCAGCGGCGGCGGCGGCGTCGTCGGCGGCAGCGATAGGAAGATTCTCTAGCCGTTGAGCTAGCACACTGCTGAAATGAAGATGGTGTGCAGGCAAAGACAACAAGGCAACATTCAGCTTACCTGGGGGTCGCTTACCTTGTGGTCTCCTGCGATGCTGTTTGCGAATACGCATTTCGATATGACGAGGCGATGGTCGGTCCACCCGTCAGCACCCGCGATCGCCTTCGTCACCAGCACGTCCCGCTGATCTTGCCTCCGGACGAGGACATAGTCCAGCAGGTGCCACTGACGCGACCGGGGATGCCTACAGGTGGCCTTCTCTCGCTCCGGCAGACAGAAGAACGTTTTCGTCAGGATGAGGGGGTGTTCTGCGCAGGTGCGTATCAGCAGCAGACCATTGTCGTTGGAGCCGCGGAGACCGTGGGGTCCCAGCACACTTCTCCAGGCAGCATGATCTGTGACGACGCGGGCGTTGAAGTCACCAAGGACAATCAACTTGTCCGCCTTCGACACAGTCGCCAAGAGGGCGTGCAGGTCCTCGTAGAATTTGTCTCTGACGCCGTCGGGGTTGGTCATTGGCGGAGCGTAGGCGCTTATGATGGTGGCGAATTTGCCCCCACCCCGGAGAGGCAGACGGAGGCTCATCAGGCGATCGTTGATACCCTGCGGCAGACAAGGCAGTCGTCCCACGATGTCGTTCCGGATGACAAATGCGATACCCGTGTCTCGTCGCTCTGCCTTGGGTCGACCACTATAGAAGAAGGTGTAACCGGCACTCACCTCCTCCAGTTGGCCTTGTTCGGAGAATCGGATCTGGCTAAGTGCGGCGATGTCCACCTTGAAGCGCGCCAGTTCTCGTGCCACTAGCGCCATCCTTCGTTCAGGTCGGTTGCTCCTCGGATTGTCTAAAAGGGAAAGAACATTCCAGGCTGTCAGAGGGAGCGGGCTCATCCTGCCAGTCTGGCGACTGCGGTGACGAAAAGTTGGAGGAGGAGGAGGAGGAGGAGAGAAAGAAAAATAGGCTAGAAGAGGAAGAGAGTGAGTGTTGTTGTTGTTGTTGTTTCGGGTTTGGCTATTTCGACCGTGTGTTTTTTGTCTGCGGCCACGGCCAGCCTACAGACTGCGTGGTTCCCAGCGATTGTTGGACAGCTTTTCTAGCCCCCTTCCCCTCGCGAGGGCAGGCAACGCATCCCTGAATAGGGCTGCCCGGTTATCCCAGACGGCTGCCGGACTCCGCTATGGGCCACGAATTTGGTTAGTGGGAGAACGACCCGAATTAGCCTGGGACCTTGGTGGTGATGGTGATGTGATGGAGTGAAGGAAAAGAGAGCATACACACGACCAAACGCTATGGGACTTAGAGATAGAGTGGGCAAGCAGACACATTCATCAGTCAGAGACAGAAATGAGAGGACACCATTCAAGTGTCAAGCACCGTAACACCTAGCTATTAGCAGAGAGAGGCATGGGTTGACAGAGAGACAGTCGCAGCAGGCATCGAGAATTGCATCTAGCTATTCACAGATAGACTAACATATAGTGGGCAGGCAGCAAGGGCAGCATACGGCACAGAACTACAAGAGACAAAGAAAAGAAACAAGGAAAATTCACTTGGGGTGTGGCCGCTAAGCAGAGCCCAGCTACGTGGAGCCACAGGTGAGAGTTGGGTGCCGGCAAATGGACGCTAGGCGTAGTCTCACCTGCAAGCAAGTGAGCGACCACTGCGACCATCACGTGAACCCACCGCTGTCACCCCTACAC